TTGCTGCTATTGAGGTGAGATGTGGGTAAGGTTAGGGACAGGTTTGTTGGTATGGGTAGGTTTAAGGGTGGGTTAAGGTGTAAGGGATGGGTCAACAGTGTAATTATAAATGTAATTACAGAAATTAATTCCAGATATAATTACATGCAGATCTTTTTCAAATATAAGTACAATGTAAAAACATGTATGTACACAATAAGTGCATTGTACTAAATGATTAATTTAAATGTAAGTACATAGTAGTTAAGGCCACTTAATATAAAGTGGGACCAAAAGTTTTCTGGTCTGTCTGTGCAGTCTAATATCACTCATCATTGACGTCAATCAAATCAAAGAAGGTGGAGTTTACTGTTGACAGACGCTTCAGTTACAGTGAAAGCCTGAAAGGTAAGAATTACAGTATAAATGTTAAATGACTGTCAATAATATCTACTGTAGTGATGCAAACTATTCTGCTTTTTTGTCACATCTTGCAAAATAGCCTATATTATTTATGTGAGACATGGAATGTAATTAGTAATTGAATCAGATGAGACAAGAAACATAAACAGATCCATTTTCTGCATATTAAGCATAAGAATAAGATTGAATGTGTGCATATTTTAAAATACAAATATTATTTGCATATAGTTCAAATAAATTACTTTACAATACATTACACTTCTATTACTATTTTTAATTATTCCATTATATAACTACCGTAAATACATTAAAAAAATGCATTTAATACTGAGAGTAGTATTGATAAAATAATAGAACTTAATTTAAAAAAACTATTTTACCAAATATTTGTGTGCACCATTGCATAGTTACCTTAGCAACATGCTAACCATTTGAATCAATTGTGATTCATGTGTCTTGTGTACTTCTCAAGTGAAGCACTATTTTGTATTAGTGCTCCAAATTAGTCACCTATGTGACCATCTTGGTCAACCTTCAACATACTAGCTAAAAAGGGCTATTCTGGACCACCTGCATAAACCAGTCTGAACAAGCATGGACATTCAGAATACGTGACATATTGACCACAAGCTGGAGGCTGAATGTACAATTTAAGGCCAGGCACCTGACCTTTAACCTTTAGTCCCTTGCCTGTTTCATCCTTCCCGTACTGTCTATGCATGTTCTCTTTCTTTCTGTCTCGCTCTCTGCTTTTACAGCATTGTGCAGTAATAAGGAGGCCAATGAATATTATATGCCCACATTAGCGATGCTATTTCGTCAGAAAAAAAATGACTGGGGGGTAGAGAGCTTTAGAGCTTGATGGATATCAAGTCAACATGCCAAACTGACGCTTTTGCCCCACAGCCCCTCTGAGCTGCCATACACACAGATTTCTGTCTATTCAGCAAACTGTGTTGACACACACACACACGCACACAGAAACGCTCCAAAAAATGTTGTTCAATAATCTATGGTCAAAATGTCTGTGAACCAAAAGATTCAAAGACACACGAACAAACAATCTGATAATGTATGCGATATCGTCCCATGCATAAATGCATTTTATGGCTGCTCGTCCTGGCTTTCATTTTTCTAGCTTCGTGTTTTCCATTTTTCTGTCTCTTTTCCACACATGCATTCACACACGTGTATGTAGCCGTGCACCTTCTGTGTCAACAGGCACACACACACATGCATCACATCATAAATCTAGTCCCAGTTAGTCAGACAGACTCGCTCACACACACACACACACTGTAGATTCACGCAGTGAAGATATAAACAACATGCAACAGCAGCTCTGCGCCATAAAGACAGAGAGCAAGACGTCTGGAAGGAAAAATGTACGTACCACACATGAGCAGAGCAGAGGAAGCTTAGCACGAGCCCTCATCAGCCACAAACAACCGACCAAAATGCCCGCAATGAGGGGGAAAAGAAGGATGAAAAGTGAGGGAAAGATACAGTGGCTGGACAAGTGGGTAAGAGAGAAATAAAGAGAGAGAGGCAGGGAGAGTTGGTGTAGGTCTAGGAACACAAAGGAACCTGGCAGACTGTTCCACCTCTGAGTCACTGGACAGGTTTGTGACAGAGAGAAAAGGAGAGAGGGTGGGAGAGATGAGAGGAGGGGCCTGTCTGTGTGACGTCACACAGACAGGCATCTGAGATCGCCTCGATTTGAGAAAGGGGTAAAAGATTTTAGTAGATTAACAAAAAACCACTGGGTGGATTTTTATCATTTTATGGTGGTTGTGTACACACACTGCCAACACACGTTTCAGTTCAAACAACTTGTAAAAGTGCATGTAGCATTATATGACCCCTTTAAGTGATAATTATACCCTCATATTCTAATTTAGCTGATGAAATTAAGTTGTAAAATGTATAAAAAAATGAAAAAACTTACATTAAGTAACATAACGACTTTTAATATATTAAGTAAACGGTCTTTAAAATGATAAATCTTTTTACTTTGTATGAAAGTTTTTGTCTTTAGAAAAATATATATCTTTCATTAACACTGGATCAAAATTTTAACATTTTAACAAAACTATGTGATTTCTGTGCCACTAGCAGAACGAAACAATACAAAAATGCAAAAAAAAAAAGTCACTTTCTAACAGTCTGCCATTGGTCAGTGTTGCAGTGTTGACCAGGTCAGGATTCTAAAACAAACAAACAAAAACAAATTTTTGACAGTGTCATGGTGTAAATTATCTCTGCATATTATAGTAAGCTGGAATAGAAGAAGGTATTATCAAATCAAAATTTCACACTTTCCCAGTAAAGCAGCTGCACATGCTTCAGACGGTTTTCTTGTGCTTTATGAAACTTAAAGATGTTCTGCTATTGAGTCAGGTTTTAATTCTAAAAGAGAAGCATGTCCATTTTAACAAAACAGAAAATTGTTTGGATTCCTCATCTGTAACATTGAGCAGGTGGATTGAAAATTCAGGAACTAAAGATTTTATTAAGTATCAGATGCTTGGAAGTTTCTAATCTTTCTAAAATTCTGATATGTTTTGACTTGAGTCCTTTTTAGATTTTTTATTTTTCTCATACAGTATTCATTCTGTCTGGTGTATCGCATACATTCAGATCATTGCTATCATTCTGGAATATGCTGTTTAGGCCTGTTTTATGTTGTGTCTGCTGTATATTGTGTTATATTGTTGCTGCTTGTTCTGTTTAGATGTACTTTTAGGTTTATGCTTTGTGAGAGGCCCATGGCTACAATACTGTTATACGTACATAATATGTAGCACTCATAGAACACTAGGAATTTTGAACTAACAGCTCTGTTGTAGTCAATGTGACATATCAGTGGCTGACCTTTTCATCTGAACATGTCCAATTATATAGTCATTCTGGAAAGAGAAGCAACTATTACATACATCATAGGAACATACACTTTTTTATTTCATACAAAACTTTGTATGAAATATAAGCTTGTAAGACTGATATTACATAAAAACGACAAGATCCTCTAACAAAAGTTTAGTGGAAAGTGTATATTTGTAAGACAGGAAGACTTAAATGTAAATGTCGTATATAAAAACTATTTTTATATCTGACCCTGGACCACAAAACCAGTCATAAGGGTCAGTTTTTCGAAATTGAGATTTATACCTCACCTGAAAGCTGAATAAGCTTTCCATTGATGTATGGTTTGTTAGGATAGGACAATATTTGGCTGAGATACAACTTTTTGAAATCTGGAATCTGAGGGTATAAAAAACTCCTTTAAAGCTGTTCAAATTAAGTCCTTAGCATATTAATAATCAAAAATGTAGTTTTGATATATTTACAGTAGGAAATTTACAAAATATCTTCATGGAACATGATCTTTACTTAATATCCTAATGATTTTTGGCATAAAAGAAAAATCAATAATTTTGATCCATACAATGTATTGTTGGCTATTGCTACAAATATACCTGTGCGACTTATGACTGGTTTTGTGCTCCAGTGTCACATATTTAAATAAGCAACCCATTTCAGCATTTTTTGAACTGATGTACTTTCTGAGCTATGACCTTCCTGGTCAATTGATGGAAGGAAAACAGAAATTTTTCTGCATGTGTGTGTGTATATTTGTGTCGGTCTAATGATGCTGAGTGGCTTGTCAGTGGGAGCGATAACTAATGACCACCTCTGTAAACAAAGTCAAGCATATAAACAGTGTTAAACACTCACAGAAGGAACAGTAAACAATTCAAAACCAACCCACAATAAACAAACACAATGCCAAGCCTATAGCCCTGCGGCCTATGATTCTGCCTCCAGCCAAACTGAAGAGAAGAAAACAGACTCCATACAGCACTGCTCAGCACTGATCATTACTGAACAAAGTACATCATTAGAAAAGGGATGGGATGGGATACAGACAGGAGACAGGACAGGAAATAGGACATGATGCGACATGACAGAATAAGATGATAAGATAAGATGTAACATGGACAGAATGCAATACATACCATACTGGACAAGACCGGATGTGGTTGGACAGGATAGGATGGGACAGGACAGAATACAACACATAGTATAAAAGACAAGTCTGGATGTATTTTGATAGGATAGGATAGGATAGGATAGGATAGGCGGGACAGGACAGGATGGGACAGGACAAAATACAGCGCATAGTATACTAGACAAGACTGGATGTGTTTTGATAGGGTAGGACAGGACAGGACAGGACAGGACAGGAAAGGAAAGGAAAGGAAAGGAAAGGACAGGACAGGACAGGACAGGACTGGATAGGATAGGATAGGAAACAGGGCAGGACAGTATAGGATAAAACAGGACAGGATGGGACTGGACAAGATAAGAGACAGGAGAGGATAGAATACATACCATACTGAACAGGCTAAGACATTGTTAGATAGGACAGGACAGGACAGGATGGGATTGGATGGGATAGGATGGGACAGGACGGGATAAGAAACAGGACAGAATGCAATACATACTACGCTGGACAGAACAGGGCATGGTTGGATAGGACAGGAGACAGGACAGTAAGCAGGGTAGGATAGGATAGGATAGGATAGGCTAGGATAGGATAGGATAGGATAGGATAGGATAGGGTAGGCTAGGATAGGATAGGATAGGATAGGATAGGCTAGGATAGGATAGGATAGGATAGGATAGGATA